ACTTCTCCTTACAGAAGGACCAGTGACACCAAACTGAAAACCAACTTCCAAAGACCTTCAGGGGTCCTTAGCTTTTTGCAACCAGTGCTGCCCAAGGAGAAAATAAAAAACGTGCATGGAATCTGTGCCAAATGGGGGCAAATGTTTTGAGCCTCTTCACTTGTCCATGAGCCCAGGAAGCTAAAAAGGCCTCAACATAAAAAATCAGATTCTCCATGGCAACAAAATTGCCATGCCAGAAACATACAGTCTCAACTTACACAGGCAGACATCTCAAAAATATATCAAGTGAGGAAGAGAGATTAAAATTTCAAAGAACAAATGGTAAAAGTAATTGTTTGCAAAACGGTGTATGGGGGAAGAGGGGGTGGGGAAAGAAAAACACAAACCCCTCCTTTCACGGGGCCAGAGACGTCTATTCTTATTTGCCCTTTAGTCATATAAAGTAACTTAAATCCTTCCCCTCCCTTTGGATCAGGTCTAACCCACAGTTCGGTGGCTTCAGGCTGTGCCACCAGCTCTGCACTTCCTGCTGACAGTAAGTGCTTCTCCAGCCCAGCTTACTTTTATTTTATTTTATTTTATTTTTTTATTTTATTTTATTTTATTTTATTTTATTTTATTTTAATTTTTTTTATTGTCAGCCCAGCTTACTTTAAAGCCCAGATCAAAAGCTTTCTTGCCACAGAACAAATCACATTTGACAAAGTCATATCCCTCCTAAGCCACAATTATATAGATTGACTTGGTAACCTAAGTTAATAGTGATCTGACTCCCCGTTTAATATATTTTGTCGCGTTTTTTAAAAAGTAATTAGGTCTCTCTTTTTTGCTTTTTATTTCTTTGTGTGTGGATGAGAAAGGGTTGAAGGATGTGTGGAGGGAGAGAACAAAAATTCTATTTGGCAAATCCCTCTCCGAGATGAGATAGCAGTGTGAACACTATTACAGCGGGCGCTAACCACCCAATCTCCCTCCCAGTTTGGTGGGTTGCCCAGACTTTGGATCCCACAGCAGTACCTCAGGGCAAAGGTTGTTTCCAAGGGTGTGTCTTTTTGTTTTGTTTTCTCAGAAATATTACTTTGTCACCAACAGAACTCACGACATTTGCTTTACTCAGGGTCTGAGGATGCTCATCAGCGCACATTACCTATAGTCTTCTTTTCAACTTTTGAATTGATCTCTGCTTCTGACATGACAAACTTACCAGTAGGGCAGCCTTTCTTCCTGTGTATAGGTCAGAGATGTGCATGCTTGAGTTCTGAGCACACACGAGAGGTAAAGTGGTCCTTCGTTACCTATGTTCCATGTATGCCAAAGGTGTATATGGTTGCCAGGAGTGAGCAGTTTTAAATGGTGCTCAGGACTTGCACACAAGTTCCTCTTTGGGAAATAGCTCAAAGGTGAATAGATACAAGGATGCTGTTGAGCACATTCCATATGAGGGAGGCATAGTTTCTTGGAAGTCAAGATTTTACAACTTGGATTTCATCTTGGGTGGCATACCAGGAAGTTTCTTTATAAACATATAGAAGTCTGAATGGGGTAGAGTAGAAGGAATTCATGAAATACTGTGATAAGTGAATGAATGAAGTGAATGAATGAATGAATGAGTGAATGAACGAATGGAGTATGTTACGAAAAAAAATATCCAGAACTTGGAGCACCTGCGTGGCTCAGTCGGTTAAAAATCTGCCTTCCACTCAGGTCATGATCTTGGGGTCCTGGGTCTGGCTCTCTGCTCAGCAGGGAGTCTGCTTCTTCCTCTCCCGTCACCCACTCCCCCACACTCATGCTTTTTTCTCTCTCCAATAATAAATAAAATCTTTAAAAAATGAATGAATGAATGAATAAATAAATTTATTAATTAATAAAACACTATTTGGAGAATATATATATATATATCCAACCCTGTATACATCCACCTCTTTATATATGACTCTGTGTGTATATATATAACTATATGCATATATATTGGCTTTCTATCCATCCTACTATATATATATGTGTGCACATTATTTATATTGCATATATAAAAATAATAATATCAATATTATCACTAACAGCAAATGTTAGCTATTAATTACTTATATGCTAATTTACACTATCCGTGTAAACTCTTTACAAATAGTATTTGTGCCTATTTTTACCAACAATGTGCTGCAGTTCTAACAGAGTGCCTAGCACATAGTAGGTGCTCAATAAACATTAATAGAAGAATTTCTTATTTATGAATTCATTCAACCTAGCAGTTTGGAACTCTTGTTGCATTTTAGAATCACCTGGAAAGCTTGTATTTCTTTACTTCATCAATATCCACCCTTGGGCCCCATTTCAGACAATTAATTCAGAATATCTGAGGTACGAGCTCAGGCAGTGTTACTTACAAAGCCATCCAGGTGATTCAAATGTACAGCTCTTGGATGAGAACCAGTGATCGAACCTCTCCTTGAGGCTGTGTTAAATTCCCCCTGAGGGCAATGGTTGGACCCAGGGAGTGAAGGGGAGGCTGCCAGCCCTGGCAGTTGTGCTAGAGGCTGAGTTCCAGGCCAATGTACCTCAACTTTCTGAGACTGCATCTCCTGCATGGCCTTCCTGATTTAGACTCTAGTTGGGAGAAGAAAGAGAGGTCAACATTCTCTCTGCAAGGACAACTCATGCTGTCCTTGGGCTCAGGCACACAGATTCTCTAGTGAGCAGGACAATTATAATGAATCGGAGCAGGGGCATCTGTGCTCTGTCAATATCTGATCACTAGGGGACAAACTGACATATGATCAGACTCAGAGCCTCCCCAGAAACTGCCCAGGTGCTACTAGGCAGTAATGACTTTCCGTCCCTGTACAGTTGGATGGGACTGGGACAAACTCTGGCCCTGGATGACCCACTGGAAACCCATATTAAAATCTTCCAACCTGTGTTTCTTCCTGAAGTGGCAAGTGAACCTCACTGTGCCAGTCCAGCTCTCTACCCTGCAGTGAGAAGTATCTTTTGAATGTGAAATTCTCCCTCAGTCTGCACACAACGTGTCAAGGCAGGCATTACTTATGCACTTTACAGATAAAGAACTAAGGTCAAGAGGAGGTTGGCGATTTGTAGACAATCACAGAGCTGACAAGTAAATGCCATAGACAGCATTCGAACCCTGACCAATTTGTTTCCAAGTCTCTTTCTAACATAGCCCTTTTTAACCCATGTTAGTGAACCAATTTGCTCATGTGGTGAGGAGCAAAACTTGGTTTTGAATGAATTGGATTTGAATCAAAGCATCTCCCCTTCCTAACTGTGTGGTTTTAAGCAAGTTACACAACTTTTCTGAGCCTTAGCAACCCTATCTGAAATTAAAAAGTAATACTACTCATAGTATCTTTCTGAAGAAAAATATCTTAATATAGGTGAAATGCTTCATAAAATTCTTGGCCCAGGGTATTCAGCAAAAAGATAGTGTTAGTACACAATTGTTATTAATATTTTCCTGCTGGGTCTTTGATTGGTTATTCTTTTTCCTTTAGAATAGCATTCTTTTTTTAAAATTTACGTTTTATTTAAATTCAATTTAATTAACATGTAGTATTATTAGCTTCAGGGGTAGAATTTAGTGATTCATCAGTGGCATATAACACCCAGTGCTCATTACATCATGTGCCCTCCTTAATGTCCATCACCCAGTTACTCCATCCCCGCATCCAACTCCCCTTCAGCAACCCTCAGTTTGTTTCCTTATTTAAGAGTCTCTTACAGCATTCTTAAACTCCTTTCTTAACACAACCATACAACTTGTTAACTTAAATTACTGATCCCATTATAACAGAATACTGTGAAATGTAGTACAAAACAAATACCAAATGTACAGACAAAAATTCCAAATCACTCTCATGATTAATGAAAATTCAAAATTATAAATTAAAATGTCAACAAGTAGGTGGCTCCGTGGTGCAATGGATAGCGCATTGGACTTCTAAAATGTCAACAAGTTAGAAAAATAAAATGTTGACAAGTTAAATCATTCTGCACTTTACATCCATAACACAATGACCCATTATAGCTTATTCCAGAATGCAAAGATGGGCCAATATTGGAAAACTTACTAACATGATGGGCCTCATATTATCAATGAGAAGATATAGTCAGGGATAATTAATATGAACTCTTAACAGATCAGTATACCTCTTGAAGTTGCGTATACATTTTTTCTCAACTTGAAAAAAAGTTTATAATGCTCACTAGATATAAAAACATACAAATATAATCAGATGTTAATAATCTTCAAAAAGTAAAAAAAATAAATTTTAACAATCTTTAAAAAGTAAAAAATTCAATTATACAACTATATATATATATGTGTGTATATATATATCATAAAAGTCAACCAAATCTGACTAAAAATATATCAATCTAGATACCCAACATTATATTTGTTAAAGACATTTCACATAAGAAATCAGTTAAGTGTTGTCTGCTCTTACTTTCATCATATGTTTTAAGATACACACCCAACATTTAACCACAGCTATCTCTAGCTGGTAGGCTTACACATTACTTGCATTTTCTTACTTTTACTTAGTAGTACTATATATTTTTAAAATTAGCAACACTTATTTTATTGTAAAACTCGAAGTTATTGAAGGGAATATATCAGTAGATTTAATTCATGTTTATTATAAACATGCTACTGTAAAAATATATTTTGTTAGCTATTTATGTTAGATACATGAAATACAGAAAGAAAGCAATTTTAAAAAAAAACTTAATTTCACAAAGGCTTCTCAAAATAATCAGAGAAGAATAGTGTGGGTTGGGGAGATAAGAACCGGCATACTTTGATATCCATTATGCACAGGGAAACATGGTTTAATTCCATTTTAACCCTCTCTTCCCATTCTTCTTCTGAACAGTGCTCTTGGACATGATCCCAGTGAATGGAAGTGCTCTCTTTCTTCCATTTCCCCACACTGTGCTTTATTCAGCGCTCTCCTTTGGAGTTTTGTCACCTTACTCACCAACTCTTCGGTTGAGCTGAGCTGGGCTGTGAGCACCCGTGAGGTCTGAGGAACTGGAAAAAGCCATTGGAGAGAGCAGGGATGCTAACGGGTCATCACAGTTGTCTATAATGATAAGAGAGAAAGAAAGCAAATTCTATTAGCAAGAGATAGCCCGTAAAGAGAGGAATCATGGCATTAGCCACCATCATTTTTTAACTACTGCTCTGAACAAGACCAGTACCACTTGTTTCCATGTGCTATTTCACTTACTTCTCACAGTCCTGAAAGACAGGTATAAATTTCTTTCACAATTGGAGACACTGATGTTCAGAGATGTTAAGAAGGGTATCCAAGGTCACAACACTAGAAAATGGTGTAGCCAGAAATCTCACTGATTTGTTTATCATCTGCTCCTTTAATTAATCACTTGAACAAAGCTTCAAGTTATTGAGCTTATTCTAGAAGGAGGGAGACTGTTGAAGGGAGGATATAATAGTTTACATGCTCTCCCATCTTCAGTCCCTGAGGACTCCTGCCATAGGTATATCTAGATGGATAGAATGGTTTAGAATGTCTCACTCCCAGTTGTGTGAAAATCTTTGGAAATTGAAAGACTAATTCTAATAATTAATTTCTATTCCACAAAGTAAAGGAGAATAGTCCCCGATCTTGTACAATATTGAATCTGATATTTACTTCAGAAGCAGCCCTTCTAGCCTTCCCTAATGTAACAGGTAGGGTCTTTAAGGTTTCTTTGATGCTGTCTAAATGTAGAACAGGATGGGGTCATGGGGAGAGATGTGGTCTTGACAACATCGACCTGTTCCTCCAGACTGATCATGCAATCTCATGCACAGGAGCCTGCTCTTCATATAGCAAACTGGTCATCTAAATGTTCTGAAACCATTCATTTGTTTGCATCTTACACTAAATAGCACACTCTTTGTGGGACTTTAGCAAATAATCTGATACATAATAAGCCTTCAATAAAGGTTTGTTGAAAGAAATGGATGGGGAAGGAAGGAAGGAAGGAAGGAAGGAAGGAAGGAAGGAAGGAAGGAAGGAAGGAAGGAAGGAAGGAAGGAAGGAAGGAATTAGTTCACACAACAGTACCCACATGTTTTTCCTTTTTCTATTTTGTATGCAACTGACTTTTCAGGACATTGAAAAATGATACCATTGAATCTAGACATATCTCATTCAAACATGATTTTATGTCATTCAGTTTGAAGGTAAACTTCATGTATTAAAGGCTCTCAAGAAAACCAAATCTCTTTTTTTGTTTTTTTTATGTACATTAGATAGGAGGCTCTTTGTTTATCTAGAAAATTCTGAGAGAGGACTATTTCATCTAACTCCAGGAAAATTAATGAGAAACATAAGGATTAATTTTTTTTGTTAAATGTGTTAAAAAAATCAACTGGCAAAGTGTATTTTGAGTTTTTCCCCAAACACAAATGTTTGAAAAATATTTTGAGGTATTTGACAAACAGAAAACAGATCCAGATCCTCACTAAGAGGAACGACATAAAAATCATAGCAAGGACGCCTCTGCAGTTATGGTCATTCTGCGAATAGAAAGCAGAGCTCACAGGATGCCTGGGTGGCTCAGTCGGTTAAACGTTTGCCTTCAGCTCAGGTCACGATCCCAGGGTCCTGGAATCAAACCCCACATTGGGCTCCCTGCTCAGCAGGGGAGTCTGCTTCTCCCTCTCCCTCCCTCCCTGCTTGTGCTCTCTCTCTCTCTGTCTCTCAAATAAATAAATAAAATCTTAAAAAAAAAAAGAAAGAAAGAAAGAAAGAAAGAAAGAAAGAAAGAAAGAAAGAAAGAAAGAAAGAAAGCAGAGCTCAGGGCCACTTTATTCCAGGCATAAGATGCAGGTGAGGGGAGGTGCATACACACTTCCAGTGTGTTTATTTGGAAACACAGATTGGTTACACTATTTATATATTAGCAAACAATTTGGATGTGATTCAGATCTTACATTTGCTTATACCCATCTTATCATCAGGAAACATTAGGTGAATATAGGAAACTGAACTCAGTCGAACTGAGCCCCATGGAAATAACTATACCCGTACACATGCCCACATCAAATACCACACCACATCAGACTTCGCAGCTATGCTAGGAGCCACACCTCTCTGCATCTGTAGTTAAACCATCTTCCAATTTCAGATAACACTCCTCACACTGCTTCCGATAGCTCACAACCCATCTGACACCCACCTCCACAAGCAAGTTTAAGATTTTTTTTAAGTACCATGTTTATTATAGCATTTAAGTATTCCTTAAACATATAGCATGTATAATGCCATGTTACCATTTTTTATTAGGTCCTTAGGATTTTTTTAACATGTTGCCAGTGATGTTTGAGCTTTGTGCCCCTAACCTATGTTTCCCCTAAAGTAGGAATAGAAGTGACTGAATTATTTCAATTTAATTCAGTACAAAAAAGTATTTATAAGGACATACTTTATGCTTGCTCTTGGACAAGCACTGGGGATAGAATTGAGTAAAATTGAATCTCAGACCTCACAGAGCTCAGGGACCTTTGAGAAATAGAATAAATAAATAAATAAATAAATAAATAAATAAATAAATAAATCCGATGAGAAGAATTTCACCAAGGTTACACCCAAGCCAGTAAAATGGGGATCCAACTCTATAGACATCCAGGCAAGTGATCTGCTCCATCTCCTCCAGCCCTATGCAGTCTCCCTTTTCACAAGTTGCTGGCCTCAGGGAGAGATTAGCTTCCAAAGCTTCTTGGTCTCGTGACCCCAACTGCCATTTTCCCCACTGGCCATTTCCTCTTCCAAATTGTTCCGTCCTTGTATCTCAGTTTATGGGATCAGCGCTTCCACTTTGGAAATTAGCAAACCCATTGTAAAAGATCTGTGCTAAAGGGAAGGTCCAGAGGAAATTGTTCAGGACTCCTCTCATCACAGACTCAATGCATTGCAAGAATGGCTTTTAGAGAACATAGGTGAACTTTTGTCCTATCCTTAAAAGTGAAAATAATGGGAAAATTTCAAATCGGAAAGGAAGAAAGTCCTCTCCTCCCCAGCCAGTACGTAGCTCCCTCTGTCTTCTCAATGTCACCTAAACTGAGAATAGACCAGGCCTCTAATCAAATTAACCCTGGTCATTGGGAATTAAGAATTTGCCCGTATAACCATTCTAAATCCAAAAGTGTGCATTATTTTTAGACATCTGTCCTATTCTTAAAGCAGAAGAGAAATGATCTAGCATAAATGAGAACACTTTATACATATTTTAATTCATGATTTGGGACCATCAGGAATAGTGGAAATTATCAGGAAGGCTAGAGCTAGGAGCTCGTCATTCTAGATTGGTTTCTTCTCTTGCCTTGGTGACTCCACTTAATACATTCATATGTACTAAGCAGTATCTCCTTTGTCTGCAAAATCAAGACTGCCATCTCTACACATCCAGCCACAAAAATCGTCTTAGAACAGAATGAGAAGATATGGGAAATGGAGGAAAGCCCCCTTTAAAGGGCAAAGCACAGAATAAAACCAGGAAGCACTATAAGAATTGTCTAATATTTGCCATAATCAAGAACAACCTTTTCAACAATTTTATTTCTGAGACCTTGTCTCTATGTCACAATACCTGCTGAATAATTGATGTCACCGATAGCTCTTTTGCACTAAAGGTTGACAAAGGGCCAGATGAGAAGAAGAATATGAAATGGAGGGGAAACAAGGGGGTGAAGAATCACCGGAGAGTGAGAACAATATTGCATGGGGCAGTCCTCCCACTCTGTGGATCGGCAGCCTTGCCGAGACTGGGCCAACATCACACCAAACACATGGCTGAGAAGGAAAGAAACAAAGCACCATCTGCTCCACCATTCCTGCAGGCTTTAAATAAGCAAACCCATGTTGTCATTACATTTTAGGCACCACTCATATCTCTTGCCTTCTGACAGTGTTTCTGCACAACACTAAATCCAACAGTCAGTTCCTCCAAAAGTGCAGTGGATGTTTATCTGTATTTACATGAGGAAAGAGGAGAGGGTGAAGAAACTCAGGTGGGCAGAGAGATGTTTGAAGTTTGGGGAAAACATACTAAGGGACTAAAGTCAGGCTTTCAAGAGGACACACAACCTGAGATAGACCTTCATAATTTTACTAGAATATCATTTTTCACACTTAATGGATGCATTGGCATAGTAGAATATTTTCAAAACACACTCTTAAAATGTCCATGGATGGGGCTTGTCTTTAAAAGATATTTCACAGAGTTGCCCAGGTGGCTCAGTTGGTTGAGTGTTGGACTCTTGGTTTTGGCTCAGGTCGTGATCTCACGGTTCTGAGATCAAGCCCCATATTGGACTCCACGCTCAGCGTCGAGTCTGCTTGAGATTCTCTCTCCCTCTTCCTCAGCCCCTCCCTCTCTTGCTCGGGTGCTCTGTCTGTCTGTCTGTCTCTCAAATAAATAAATAAATCTTTAAAAAAATAAAAGATTTTTTTGCAAAAAGGAGATAAAGTTAAAAGGCTATTATTAAAAAATGCAAACTCATGTGTGACTTATTAATTCTCCATTTTTCCTCAGCAGATAACCTTATTGTCATCTTTACTGTTTTCCTTTATAACGTAAAGGCCACTTCCTACTCCACCCCATGCCTAGGCAGATAAAAATCCGTGCCTATGGGTATGATGGAAAGTAGCTCAGCTATTTCTAATCAGTAACTGCTGAACAACACCATTCTTATTTGCAAATGACTTAGCCTTACATTCATAGACTAAGAGGATACCAAAACTCAAGGAACTCTGAAGTGGTGAAATTCAAGCCCTTCACTTTACAAATGAGGACCTCAGGGTTTAGGGAGATGATGAGTCTGCTCAGGATTATTCAGTTCACTGATGGACTAGCCTGGACCAAAGCTCAGATTTCCTTACTCCCAGATGGTGACCACTAGCTCAGAGTTACCTGTCATGTCTGCATAAGTCCGGTAATCATTATTATATTATTTTTCATAACATATGTTTTAATGAATAACTTTGTGCAAAAGGAAGGGCTGAGTTGCATCTCCTAGATAACAGAAAAAAAAAAAAAAGTGAAGAATAGCCTAGGATTTTCAGAAGAATTT